CGCTCACACCTGGAGAACAGGCTGTCCCACGCCATGTAAGGAGAAAGAACAAACCTGCCTTTTCCCCTCGTTTTGGCCGCTAGTGTTACAATGAGGGAGCCAACTTGCTCTGTGCCAGACCAACAGTGTCAGGTCCACGTAGGACCTTGGCACTGCTCTCCAGACAGGCACAGGTTTGTACAACTGCACTTCCAAAATGGGAAATAGCTCTCAAAACTAGGAATCCCTTGCCCACCCCAGCGGCAGAGCAACTCAGCTGCTTCCTCTCAGGTACCAGGGTTCACCCCTCGGAGGGTGCCCTCAGCCTGAGCAAAAGCAGGGCACAAGGACATGAGCCAGACCCCGAGCCAGGTCCCCAGCAGGGCCGGCTGCCGTCCTCACAGCAACGCCAATTAAATCAGCAGAGCATCAGCAGGTCCTGCTCCTCCCCAAGCTCTCAGGTCTCTCCTTTCAGGGCTGCTTTCCCTCCTTTAATATCTTGGTCCCACTTAACCTTTTATGCCCTTGATGGGTGCTAACGGGACCCACCTGGCTGGGCGCCTTGGCCGGGCCTCTCGGCTGGGCTGCCAGCCCCCCATCACCCGCGTCCGCTGGCTCTGCACCGCCGTTAATAGCACGTAGCGGGAAGGCCACACGCAGCATGAACCTCAGGGCTAATTTGTTCTTTCAGCATGAGTGGGTTTGAGCCTGGGTTTTCGCTGTTTTCCCAACCTCCCCACAGCCTTGGGGAAGCCAAAGTCCGGGGTGGAGCCTCACTGGCTACCCTGCGTGTAGGTGTCTGTCATGGACATCATTGCTGGACAAGGGAAGGGATGAGAAACAGGTTTAGATGAGGCTTGAGGCACAGTGACTTCTAACCACGCTAGGCAGTCACACACCGTGACCTTTGCTCCTTCCCATCACGCTGCGACGCGTCTGCGGAGCTGGGGAGTGGGCTCTCCAGGGCTGGGCTTAAACACGCTTCCAAATGACTCTCAGTGCCCTTTCTGCCGCCCTGCAGCCAGACAGAGGAAAAAACCCAGGTGGTAACTGGGCAAACTACATTTGCCTGTGTATGATCTGGATGTAATGTTCTTTTTTCAATGTAACGGCATAACGTATCTTGTGGCCCCGCTAGTCTGATACCAGGGGTGACTAATGCAGGATAGTCCCTACGCTTGAGTACACCCAGCACCTTCCAAAGCGCTGATTACAAAAGAAAGGCAAAAGCTTTGAGACAAGGGGATTACCCGAGATGCGTCTAATCCGGAGCTCTGTGTCTGTTTGTCATGTGGTAACCGGGTAGACTGCATCCCCTGGGTATTGCATCTTGCTGGGGGTATTACGCTCGGCTCATGCGCTGTGTCCCCACGCAGGCTGGCTGCGTACACCCCTCGGCTGTGGGGACCCGGCTGTGGGTGCTGTATGGAGCCCCACACCCTGCGTTGGGTTACACGCTGCCATGACTGGCCTTTTCTCTATGCGCTTTGTAAGCTTTGGGGGGTCGGTGGTCCGTGCTCTGGCATTTTGGGGGCCCGAAGGGCTTGTCCGTGTCTCCCCACGCCTGCCCTGCGTGGCGCGCAGTGGCCGGTGTTTGCCTTCGGGGTGGGTGAAGAGCCTCTGGCTTGGGAGGAACAAAGCCCGGCGCCAGTTGCTGCAAGCACAAAACGCCTTTCTGTTGCTTCGTGACAAACGGGTTTGTCAGCAGCAGGAAGTGATGCCGTCCTCACCGAGGGGAAACTCCTCGTGGTTTCCATGGGGATGTAGGCAACTGTAGAACTACAGGTTTGTATAAGCTGAAAGCCCTGCGAACGCCGGGTTTCCAGGGGTCTGGGATCGGACAGGAGGGGCAGGGTCTCGGCTGAGCCCCGCTAGCGCAGGGCGACGGCCGGCTCGTGCGGGAGCCGGGGGAAACGGGCGTTCAGAGCTGTAAACCAGGGCGAACCATGTGCTTTCATATCCCAAACAAACAAAACAGCGAAGCAGGGAGAATAAATGAGGGACAAGAAGGGAAAATGCCTCCCTAACACATCAACAGCTGGCAAAGTTCAGCTCGGCTGCGTCATCAAGGCACCCTCCGGCCCCGCCACGCGCGGGCTCTGCCACGGCCCATCTCAGCTCCTCGGGCCTCCTTGCCCGGCTCGTACCTCCTCCTCTGCCCCCACCTCGCCGGCCGCCCGCTCCTTCCCCCCCGCTCCCAGCGAACCCCCAGCCGAGCCCACCCGTCTCCCCAAAACTGTGGCACTGAGGCGACGTTTGCCGGTCTCGCTCTGACCTCTCGTACTTTCTCCTGCTGTTCTTGCCCCCTTGCCCTCCCCTTGTTTGGACCGGGAGCAGTTTGGGATCTGGGTGCGCTCCCATCCACAGAGAGTCCGCAGGAGTCTGTGGGCTCTGGGCACGGTGAGACTCTGGCTATGGGTGACAGCAGAAGGGCCACGGGAAAGACTTGGAAAACGACATCGCCTGTGCACAGAGCTGGAAACGCGTGGCGGTGCCTCGCTGGGAGCGAAGCCCCGCTGTCGCAGGCTGGCTTTTCCCAACGGGCTTTGTGCTGAAGCAGCTCTCTTTTGCACCCCTCTGTCAGGTGCCTGCTTGGGTTATAAAAGCTGATCGGCTGCCAGGTAATGAGTTTTATTGTTCCAAGAAACACATAAACAAGCTCCCCCGGCTGACGGGGAGCGGATTTCTGTTTGAATTGCGATTAACAGGCAGGATTTTTTTTTATCAGTTACACGGCCAGGGCTGCCAAGGTTGTATTTTTCCACTGAACAAGCTCCACTTTGCTTTGAAGGTGAAAGTTTGTTCCACTGTTTACCGCAGGTGTAAAAAGGCTCACGTATTCAGAAACAGCCCCGCATGCTTTACAGGGAGAGCAGTGGTAGGTGCAGTCCCACGGAGCAGCACAACCTGCCCAGGGACTTTCCACGGACGAAGGGGTTTTGCAGGATCTGCAGCATGGGACAGACTTTGGGGAGGAATATTCACTTTGAAGTTCATGCACACTTTAGGAAAATAAGGGTTTCTAACTTTGTTTCTCAGTGCCCAGGGATCTCTCCTCCCTTATAGCTGCTCCATTTTTTTTCATCCCTTGGTGTCAGGTTGAAGCTTGGCGATAGCTGACGTAGCGCTGACGACAGAGCTGCATCAGAGGCGTAGCTCACGTGGAAGAATTTCAGACGCAGCAGTGCATCATCCCATCCTTCAAGGGCACCTTCTCCCGGGAGAAGAGCCCTGGATTTTAGCACCATTAATGCTCCAGGTAGCTTGCAGGATTTCAGCCGGAGTTTGTGGTGCTTTACTTGTCTCCAGTTACGTGACAAGAGCACAGCCGCTTTATGCTTAAAAAAGCCCTCATCTATAAGGCTGGGATCGTAACTGTTAAAATGCCTTGATTTTACACAGAGACACGACCTGCTGTATCTGCCCAAGCAAAACCACTTTTGACAGGGCAAAAGCAGGACCGGACTCCTTGAATACCAGAGAAGCAAGGACTGGTGGCTCCCTTCTGGAGTGGATGTAGGGCACCCGCTGTCCCAGTGCTCCCCCAGCATCCGTCTCCCAGTTACCAGTATCCCTGCCCTGCCTGGGGAAGCCAGCTTCTCTGGGAAAGGGACATCACAGCAAGGCCGTGTGTCCTGCCCCGCGGAGATGTGCGGTTCTACCACAGCACTCGGCGCTAACCCCGCTCCGTTTGCTGCCCGTCGCCCTCGCGCTGCAGCTCCTGCCCCTGCGCCGCCCGGAGCGCTGGTCTGGCGGAGCTCCCCTGCCCAGCCTCCGCCACGCCACGCCAAACTCCTCTCATCGCCTCAGCTGAAGTGCCAGATAAAAGTCACTCTAGTGAGAAACTGCAGCAAGGCTTTATTTGGGTCTGGGTAAGGAAATAAGCAACTTGTTGGTTACCTGATCTCCTGTGATGCCCCGATTTGTTTACAGAGAGCCCAGCAAGCCAAATACGTCACTCCGGGCATCAGGGGCAGTTTGAGTTGCAAAAAGGAATCAAGGAGGTGGGACAGAAAAAACCACCTCATCCCAGACTCCCAAGCACTAGAGATCTGTTACCAACAGGTTAGTTTTTATACTTGACCTTTGAAGCATTAAAAGTAAACAAGCAGTAAGGAACCTTCTTCCTCCTTCCTAGAAGGACTGTTTTAACTTCACCGTAGCCCCGTGCCCAAGCCTCAGCTGGTTCAAACTGTTACAGCTCCGTGGCCACCGCTGCAGCCAAACCCACCTTCCAGGGGAGACGCCAGCCCTGGCTCCCTGCCACCGCACAGGATTACACGGGGACAGAGAAAAGCTCGGGTAAGAAGCAGCAGTAGTTTTAGTCAATTATCTTGTTTAAACCCATTCTTCTACCCAGGTGAGTCAACACCTGAGGTCAGCAGAGTTAAAAATTCAGGTTTCTCTTACAGCTCTGCACCTGGGGGCTTCCACACAAGCTTTGGGAGTGTAAAATGCACGATTTTAAAGAACGCATCATCCAGCTCAATAGAAATATCATAATTTATTCTGTTTGTATAAAAAAGTTATAATCATGTAGCAAAACTAAGTCTTCATAAGAAGAAATATATTATTTCACATCATAAATAAATCAGCAAACATACAACCCTTGGCAACTCAAAAAAAGCACTCGCCTGGTGCTTTCACGTCAGTGCTTGGGAAAAAAGAAGAGCTGACATATATACACACACAGGATTACAGTACCAAAAAATACTGAGGTATTTGGTTTCTCTAGAAATGAAACTTTAGGTTTGTGAAGGCAAAAAAAACCCCAATGCACTAATGTAAAAATAAATAAATAGGACTGTCGCATCAAAGTTGACAGCGTAAGTGTTGCTCAAAGTGTCCAGGAATGGGAATACTGGTGAGCATGCTACTAAACACGGAGCAGGCTTAGGACAGACAGAAGACAAGGAGGAACAGCTCGGGAAGAGACGGTGTCCTTTGATCTCTGTGTAGACATCCAGCTATTGGGTTTGAATTCAGCAGAAGAGGCAGTAACACCTGGCGCTCTGGCATCGGGTGAGCTCCTCTCCATTTATGACACTGTTCTGGGACACACGGAGGGGTCCCCACAAACCGCCGGTGGCTGCTGACACTGTCCCTGTAGTTATTGCACTTCGGAGACAGTAAGTCTGAGTTCTGACCATGCGTCCACCCGCTCCTCAGCAGCTGGGGGAAGTGGTGATGGGGCTCTGAAGATAGCTTAAAGCACTGGACGAGGTGTGAACAGGGATGGAGACCGGGAAGTTAAACACGGTGGTGGTGGATGCTCCTCTGTCCAACACTGACATAGCAGGGCTACCAGCTTCTGCCGAGCAGTTGGGGGCGAGGACCTGCGACTCAAACTGAAGCAGCTGCCCCATGAAGCTGAAGTTTGGGGAGATGATGCTTCTCCTCTGCTTCACAAACTCAAAGGCTTCATCCAGCTTGACTCTGTTGGTCCTCATGAGATACGCGAGGCAGATGGTTGCCGAGCGGGAAATGCCAGCCTGGCAGTGCACAAACACCCTTCCACCATCGTTTTTAACGGAGTCTGAAAGAATTAAAATACACAGTAAGCAAACGAGTCCCACCGCTTCCAGAGGTGGGAAAGCACAGGCTGCCGTTTTACATTTCTTTAATCCATCCCCTCCTCAGCCTAGCAGGAGCGCCGGGTGCTTCCGAGACAAAGAGAGCCTTTGTCCCGAGGGAAGCAGCAGCCTAGCTATTTCCATTCTGGGCTCCAATTCCAATTATCCTAATAGCTCCTCCGGTCACTTTAGCAGTCTTGCAAGATTACTTTAATACTGATCCGCTTAAATTCACTAGCTCTTTTCTGCAAGACCAATGCCTCTTGATTCAAGATTTCAAACAGCTTTGTGAAGCTAAGATTATTCCTCCGAGTAGAATAAATGTAATGGCAGTGTTCCCCGAATCTCTCTCCCCAACAGAATGAAATTCCCCAATCTCAAATGTAGGTTTTACTGGGGAAAACAATGCCCAGAAATCACTTCCCAGGGTACGCCACCCCAGAAAGAGAACAGAGTAGAAGAGAGCTCGTTTACCTATGAAATCAATCGCCTCGTTAAACCAGGAGCTGATATCTGCCTTGTGGTTGTCCTCCACCGGGATGCTTTTGTACTGGTAGTGCCCTTCGAAGTGGTTGGGGCAGTTCGCCGAGACGTTGATTAGCGCTGTGATCCCCAGAGCATCCAGCATGTCCTTTCGGGAGGCATGGTAAGCGCTGCCCAAGTAGAGGAACGGCAGGATTTCCACCGGCCCACCCTGAAGCAGAGGGGAGAGAGGAGGGGTTAACTGGGCCGGGCGGTTTCGGAGCAGCCTCCCCTGCCCCGCACGCAGCCCCCGCGCCCGCCCCGGCCCGGCGCGGCGCTCACCTGGTCGTAGAGGGGGGTGCCGCAGGAGCTGCACCCCGAGTCGGCGCGCACGGGGTGGTTAACTGGGCCGGGCGGTTTCGGATCAGCCTCCCCTGCCCCGCCCGCCGCCCCCGCGCCCTCCCCGGCCCGGCGCGGCGCTCACCTGGTCGTAGAGGGGGGTGCCGCAGGAGCTGCACCCCGAGTCGGCGCTGCCGGGCGCGCTGCTGGCGCTGAGGCCCGCCGCCTCCCCCCCGGCCCCCGCGGCGGGGCGGGGGCCACTCACCCTTGAGGAAGCAGATGCGGGCGCCGCGGGCCTCCCTGCAGAGGGTGCCGAGGGCCAGCAGCAGCGTGCTGTCGCGCTTGGGCAGCTCCAGGTCGGCGCTGCGCTCGTCCAGCAGCACCACGGTGTGGACCAGCCCCTGGCGCAGGCGGGCGCGCAGCTCCTCGTTGGGGACGACGTGCTCCAGGGCCAGGGCGCCCTTGGCGCGGCGGCGGACGATGGTGCTGAGGCGGACGTTGCAGGAGCCGCGGATGTGCGCGGCGTTGAAGGAGAAGAAGGAGCGGCAGTCCAGGACCAGGCACTGCGCCCCGCGCTCCTGCAGCAGCGCCCGCAGCGCCTCGCACTCCAGCGCGCAGACCCGCAGGTTCACCATGGCGGCTCCGGCCGAGGGAGGGAAGAGGAGGAGGAGGAGGGAGGAGGAGGAAGGCGCGGCCGCTGTCGGAGGTGCCGGCG